GTTTTGGTCCAATCTAGAACTGTTTTGACCATCCAAAGGGATGTATTTTTCAAAACTGTTTTACATGGTTAAAGTTCAGGTTTATACCTTTAAAATGACTACTCGGACGTTTTCATACTATTTTTCTACAATTTTTGGCAAATTTTACAAAACTGCCTATCATATTTGAAATAATTTCGGATCAACCTGTGAAGATGAGTAATTTCACACTAGTTTGAGGCCATCAAAATTTATGAGAAAAATTGTGAATAAAGTAGACAAAATTTTCAAACTTCCAGAATTTACGGATCCAAATTTCGACTTATGATAAGTTTTCTACAAATTTTCTAAAAACTAGGTCAGAAAAGCCAAAAACCAGAAAAATGTGTATTTTCACAAAAACCAAGCCAAAAATGATATTTTTGACAAAAATGGGTTTAAAATGTTATTTTTATCATAAAGTAGCCATCAACACAAGTTTTTAACAAAATTGGAGATTAAAGTGTTATTCTTACAAAAATTGGGCCTTATTTGTAAATTTTTGGCTTATTGGGCCACGAACGTCGTTTTTACAAAAAGGTAGGCTTTTTATATCAACTTAGTAAATAATCAAGCTAAAATAAACAAAACAATAACAAACGGGTTAAAAACGATATTCATATCCTTATTGGGCCTGGAAATAATGTACATGTTTAGCGGGCCTTAGTGTCCTTTTACATCTATATTGGGTCTAGGATAGACATTCACATTCCTTTTGTGCCTGGAAATAATAGACACGTATAGTGAGCCTTAGTGGTCCATTTACATGTTTATTGGGCCTGTGAATGAGTTTTATATGCGTTCTTCTTTTTATGCTATTTTAGTGAATACTTGAACTAAAACTAATGATAAACCAACAAATGGATTTAATTTGATCATTTTCTAGGTTATTGGGCCTTAGTGACTCATTTCTATGTGTGATAGGTCTTGTATACTATATACATGTTTATTGGGCCTCATTGACCCATTAACATGTGCGACGGACCTTGGATACTATTTGTGTGCTATTTGGGCCTGTAAATACTTTATATGTGAAATGGGCCTTAGTTGTCCTTTCATGTATATTTCGGGCCCATGTTATATAATCTCATTCCATTTGGGTCTTGAAATGATTTACATGTTTAGCGACGCCTTAGTGGTTCACTTACATGGATCATTGGCCCTATAATGAGTTTATACATTTTTCTTTGCGTAAATTCGATTAAGGATCTAGCGAGTTTTTATCGGTTGGCACCTATTAAGTGTACGATCGTAGCATGTAGTTATAACCAGAGTCTCCTGGAGGGAGAACGCGGATTTGTGTATAGATCTATACGGGGTTGACACCCCACATCTCAACTGTTCGCTACAGTTAGACTTACTCAGTCTAGGGTGACGAAAACCTTATTCTATTTTCCGTCGGCATCCAACGACGCCAAGACAGGTGAAATTGTCATTATTTAGTATGGTTATGATGGCTCACTTAGAGGAATTAACGTTATGAAGTTTACGGAAGACATCTTCTTTTGTTTAGGCAACGTCGGGTTGTCTGGGAACATTCTCTTTACATGCTCTTAGATTCTCTCTACATTCTCTTTACCTTTTTAGTCAAATAAACAATAGCATACATGCATTAATACAAGATCTAACACAAACACACTAAACAGTTTTCAGAAAATATCGAATTTTTTTGGTGGTTTTCAAAGTTATACAAATCATTTTCACAAACATGCTTATGAACTCACCAACATTTTTATGTTGATCGTTTTTCAAAATAACTTGTATTCTCAGGATACCGTTGAAGCACGATGAACGAAACAAACTAATGGATATTGTGTGATAATTTGTTTCATCATACTCTTACTATTTTGGAATGTAATATTCAAATACAATACTCGATGTAAACAATGAATGTTGTAATATTACATGTGTGATGATGATGATGTTATGTTTCAATTATATTCACTGTAATGATATTTCAAGATGAAGTCACGCGCAAGCCCCCGGACGTTTCTGCCATCTGGTTCGGGGGTGTGACACTGTGTAGGTTTAGGTAATAGGGCAATGGGGTGGGTTTTTTTTTTTTTTTTTGTTAAAGATCGATCAAAGTGTGGTTTTTGGGTGGATTAATGGTTTTTGTTACTTTGACCTAGGTTCTTTGTAGTTGTTTGTAAGGTCAAAGTAAGTTGTTTATGTAGTAAATGACTTCCTGATATAAATATGAATTTTATGGAATTGCTTATGTTGTTTGTAAGGTTCTTTGTAGTATTTGTAAGGTGAAAGAAAGGTTAATGTGAATAATTGACTGTAATTACATAATACACAACAATAACCAAAAACCATAATAACCAAGGCTGCAATTACATAATAGACTACAAGCATATAGTGCAATTACATATCCCAAAATATGCAACCATATATATATATATATATATATATATATATATATATATATATATATATATATATATGTTCTAATACTTATCATACTAATGAAAACCAAAATAACCATAAGTCATAAGCTTTTTAACATCAAAACACTTCCAAAAGTAGCAAATAATATTTGCCAAAACAAACACAACCTTGATCTTCAACTTCCACCTCCTTGACCTTTGCATGTCCTTGAGTTATGACCTTTGTTTTTGCATTTTGCACATGTTACACTGACATATTTCCTTGTTAATTTTTGAACTCCATCAGGACCCACTTTACAGCCTTCTTTCTGACTTACACCATGAGTACCACTCTGACTTTGACTCCCTCTTTAACTCTGACTCAATTTTCCATCCTCACTTTTCTTCCTCTTCTTTGTAGGCCTACCTGGTTGTTTATGATGTATTGGAGGGATAAGTGTGGTGGGACACAAACTTTTAGGCCACATTATTCTTCCTTTTATGGGCTCTACCTTATAGGAATATGCATTCTTCCATGTATCCAACCAGTATACCTTATTGAACCACTTGTAAATGTCACCAACATCCCCTGAGTTCTTGGTTATTTCATAAAGGGTTGCAATGGCATGTTTACAGGGGATGCCTATTAGCTCCCACTTTCTACAAGTACATGTGTTGTTCCTAACATGTACAACATGTTGATCTTGCCATACCCCAGTGACTTGGTATTTCTCACCCCCATTCCACCTAGCAATGTAATGTGATGCGTGAGACTTGTTTACATCCAATATGGTTGTTGCAGTGGGTGTTAAACGCCCTTTTTCCTTGTCCATCACCTTCATAACATTACAGATTCTCTTCATCAAGTATTGTCTAATATACTCCAAACAACCTATGATAGGCTTATCTCTTCCCTCTATTATCTTGCTGTTAAATACCTCACAAAGGTTGTTTAACAGTATGTCAAAGATTGCTATGACTATTAAAAAAATTAACATATTGTTTTAAGTATAAGTGCACATTTAACATATAGTAATTTATGGTAAGTTATGTACCTGTAAAATGGCTTCTTGCCGAGTGTTTTGGAGGAATCTTTCTAAGCCATTCACATGCCTCCTTGTCATAGTTGTTAAATTCTTTCATGAAATGTTCAAATTCAGGTACAGTGGTTGCAGTTGCATATCTCCATAAATGATCCTTGTACTCTTTCAATTTCCATTTCACTCTCATGTTCTGATGTATGTGCCTGCGACAATACATGTGCTCAGCACATGGGAATAGTTGGGCTATTGCTGGTATTAACCCTAAAACAATAACAAAAATTAAGTATTTAGTTTATATAATAATAAGTAATTAATAATACAAGTTAGAAATAGATACTTTTTGTCGATCTGTGATAAAAGTAAAGTTAGAGTTTGAACCAAGATCCAAGTCTTCTCCTAAAAACTGTAAGAACCATACCCAACTACTTTTGTTCTCTGTCTCAACAATGGCATAAGTAAGGGGGTAAATACCATTGTTAGAGTCCAGCCCAACTGTAGTTAGAACCTGCCCAGGAAATGGTCCTTTCATATGCGCACCATCGAAACCCAAAAGATCCCTAAGACCAGCCTTAAAGCCTTTTTTCAGGGGACCTAAGCAAATGTAGATTCTTTTAAACCTCCTCGTTGGGTTTGATGGGTTTTGTTCACTGTAAACATCAATCCTGACAGTTGTGTCAACATTGGTTGCTTGCAATTCAAGGATATAATCCCTCAAGATCTCATATTGTTTCGTATAGTCATCCTCCACGATCTTAGTTGCAATAGCCTTGGCCCTGAATACTTTGTCAATAGAAACACTAACCTCAAAGTCCTTTTGAAGTTATTCCTGCAATGCTCGAAGAGGAATCCCTGGATTCGTGTCGATTTGGTCCATGATTCACTTGGATATAAAAGTAGTAGTGCAAGCTCTAATCTTCCTACTTTGAAGGCAAGTATGGTTGTCATTAAATGTCCTTACAAACCAGGGAGATTTTGTGTTTGACCTAGAAGCATGAAGGAACAAACTACAATTTACTTTTTCTGAATTTACCTCTTTGTCCTTGCTTTTATTTTTGGTATTAAGGCCCACCACCCCACTTGCATTTATGACAGGGACTACACCTCTACACAATGCCCGAAGTCTAAGCTTGTCATTCTTTTTATAATATAAATTCCTCCTAGTTTCTAATGCGTGCATGTTAATTTTTTCTTTCACTTCTTTCATTGATTTAAACTTTTGCCCAACATAAAAATTGGCCTTATGGACATTACCAAGACTGCATCTTTTCTCCTTAGCCAAATATTTAAGAACACATCTTATTTTCCTTTCATCTTCTGACCCTTCATCTAAAGAATCCCATCTATCATTGTCAATGACTTCTATGTCCTCATGTTCATCACTTGTCCCAACCTCGTTATGAAACCCATCCATTTGAACACAACCATAATCCTTATCAAGATTGAGGTTAAAGTTAGTCATATCCATCTCCACTTCTGATACATTGTTTTCATCATCAACAAGTTCATCATATTGTTCTTCTGATTGTTGCCCAAGATCATCACTGTCAGCAGACTTTTCATGTTCAGACTAATGGTCTTCAACATTCTCATCTTCTGGTGGTTGATAATGTTCTCCATCAAAAGGATCAAAGTGATCATGAGAAAAGTTCTCATAATGAAAGTCATCATAATCAAAGTTATCATGGTCACCACCTTGATCTTGTACCACATCATCCATGTTAGCATGCTCAACATCTTGATCTTGTACCACATCATCCATGTTAGCATGCTCACCAGCTTGATCTTGTACCACATCATCTAAGTTAGGATTCTCACCACCTTGATCTTGTACAACATCATCCAATTTAGCATGATCACCACCTTGATCTTCTACTACATCATCCAATTCAACTAAACAAAGCTTTTTGGCATAAGAACTTTGACCAACTATTGAGTTCACCCTTCCATTTCTTCTATATTGTGGTGAAACTTGTGTAGGGACTTTGTCAAAGAGTATCAAGGACATATATCCTACCAACTGTGTTTGATCATTAGCTTCATCTATTATTGGGGTTTTATCCTTTGCTGGTACTTGAGGTACATTTGCTTATTTTGGAAGATCACCATCACAGAGCTCCTTAATAATAACTTTTTGCTTTCCTTTTGGAGACATAAAATAGGTCAACAAATTAGTTTGTCCATGTTCTGTATACACTTTAATGACCTTGTTATCTCCAATATATTGAGCCAAATTCAAGACATCATTATCATTCCCTAAATCTCTAAGACCAAAATCCAAGTCTTCATGAGGAATCCTAAAATAGTAATATATTACTGGGGGTACAGAGTAACCTAGCTCTAGCATCATCGCGTCTAGTTCATGAACTGAGAACTCATCAATGTCTACTAAATCAATATATCGCATTTCTCCTTTAACATATTTCGTGTTTGGAAGCTTCGTAAAATTTCCACCATGGTGTAGCTTTATGGTGAACATTGTTAGTACACGCTCTACAAGATACAAAAAACATTAAGAAATTATCAGATGTTTGTATTTTTGGCTCTGTTCTTCAGATCATTAAGAAACCCAACAAAATTTCGTAAACAAAGTATAAGTGAAACTAACCATATTCATTTGTGATGTCATACGTCTCGCTTTTTGGCCTAATCGCCAACATTACAAACACCATTTACAGTTGAAATGCAAAAACAAGTAAACACCTTGGACCAAATCTTGACTAGGGTTTTTGCGTTCAAAACGAATGACAAAGAAGATGGAAGTGGAAGAGATAACTAAATATTTTGTGATTTTGTGTGTAATATGACGCTAAGACGGTAACAAGTGGGTTTATTTCAGGAATTGTAAAAATGGTCCCTCAAGTAAAAAGATATTTATGCCCTCGTGTGCAATGCACGTGAGGGGTTTAACAGCCATAAACAAATGGCTGTTAACCCCAGGGACTTGTTCCACAAACAAACCTTTCAATAAGGACCAGAAATCCAATTTTTAAAAGGTTTGGACCATATCCATAAAAAATGACAAACCATAGGGACCATTTTTGCATTTTTGTCTTTTTATCTCTACTTAACTACTTTGTTCATAAAAACTGTATTTTTATTAATTTTTTACAAAATTACATCAATGGTTATGTTAGGCAAGTTTGGAAAAGATTTATTAGTCAAAAGTTTGATTTTGTTGACCAAAATTTTTCAAAACTTTTGATAAAGATATATTTGTTGTGGCATTTTTTCTTTTATAAAATTTTCAAAACTTTTCTATAAAGATATATTCGTCTTTGGTATTTTTTTTTCTTTTGCAATTTTTTATTATTATAGGAATAAAAAATAAAAAAGAAAAATACCCACCTACCTCTCTCTCTCTCTCTCTCTCTATGTGTGTGTGTTTGATAAACACCTAATAACATATTCATAGATTCAAGAACACTCAAGAACATCTTTTGCTGCCACTACCGTTCAACCACCGTCTGTCACCTCCATCTTCACCTAAACTTTTTCTGTCACTTCATATCAGACAAAAAAAATCATCCCAAAAACAAAAACCTTACACAAATTTTGAGTTTGTTCTTGAGTTCACCCATATTTGATAAATACACACAAAATCAGATTGGATGAACACACACATAAAATCATATCAGATGAACATACACATATACATACAAAATTAGATCAAATGAACACAAACATACACACACAAAATCAAATGAACACACACATGCGAAATCTAATGAACACACACATGAAATCAGATGAACACCCACACACACATGAAATCTGATGAACACACACTTTCATCTTTATAATCTGAAATTCATTAAGAAATTAGACTCATCATAGGGTACACTTTAATCACTGGTTAATGGCTACCTTGAGGTTAGAAACGGCCTCCACCTTTATCAGGGTCAACCCAACAACCGAAAGACTTGAAAGTATCCAAAATCGTAAGGGGCTTAAGCAAAGTGAATAACGAGTTGCAGATCTATAAAGACAAAGCTCCGGTTTGCAGAGACTCAACATCATATTTGTCGAGTTGCAGATTGGAGAGGTAGTGGTTTCCAGTTTGTAGCGTTTGCAATGACGGATCGAAGTCGATCTGTAGGTGAGTGAAAATGGGGCGGAGATGTCCTTCTTGTTTGAGCTTGCAAACCCTCGTTTCAGAGTTGGAACAACAACATCGTCGAAGAAGTAGAGATACGGGAGGGCTGAAACCCTGAACGGTGGCAGTTCTAATAAAACTGTTTAAGCTACCATACGATGATTTTCTCTCTCCCTCTCTATCAAAAGATCGTCTGGTGACCTCATCGGATCTTGGTTTGACCTCGTCTCCTCCGGCTATAATGAATGCTCTGACGGATGAGAGAGATTGAAGGTAGGTTTCAAGTTCAAGACATGTGGTGGATTTGGGGGGGAGGATTGTCATGGATTTGTGGATTTGTGTTCACACAGTAAACACACACTCAAATATGGGAGAGAGTGGTATTTTATTTTTGTTTTAATTTTAATTGTTTTTTAATTGTTGTAATAAAAGAAAAATAAAAAATAAAATAACAAAGGGCAAATCCATCATTATAAAAAAATTTAAAAACTTTTTGTAATGTGACATCTTCACAGTTAAAAATTTCATTTTTAATTAAGGTAAAATTTCTCATATTCACCAAGTTAAGAAAATCGTTTGTTGCAAAGTACATCGTTTAAAAAATCAGAGTAATATAGTAAACACGGAATCTTTATTGCTGCTGATGAATGTGTACAGTCATGCTTTCGCCTTCCCACGAAAACCAATGATACCTGAAAAATAACATAAACATTTGGGTAAGCATGAAGCTTAGCAAGCTTCCCCAAATTACCCCACACAACAAACACATACAAGCATGCATATTGGGTCCGCAGTCATCATATTGGATTACCCCGGGTATGTTGGCATGTTGCCTCAACCTAACCACTCCTCCCGAGCCTCTTGTGCATACGGATTACCTCGAGAAATTATCTAAATTCTTGTAGGTCGTGGAGTCGGTTGGGTATCCGTTTCGATATTTGAGATGCTGATCTTTGTCATTCGATAAGTCGTCGAGGGCTTGTGGTGGATTAAGTGGAAAGTGCTTAAAGATCTTGATATTCATTGAGGTATTAGGAATAATCACCCGGTCTTGGAATGTATAAGCGTTGGCTTGGCTAGTCAAGGAAAGCTAGCCATTATAAAGCTGAAGTTGTCGACTACTGCTATCAGCAAGGGATAAGTAGTGGTAACATATTACTCATAAGTAATAGGGAGGTGTTGTTTACATGGGTGGTCTCATCCTTCGGGAAGTGTACCTTTAGTTTGGGATATGTGTGCTTGCCAAGATTGGTCAGTAAATGAATGTTTGCTCTGGTGAGCTCAGGTTGTTGAAAGTTTGAATTGTAAGGTTCTGAGATGGATTGGGAATCCATAAGTTGTTGTGGTTTGGGAGAGCACAGTTGAATCCTAGTGGGGTAGGATCGTTTGGTCCAAGGGTTGTATAAGAATGAATATTCAGGTTTCATTGCACATCAGTAGTGATGCATGGTGTGTATATAGAAGGGAACAAGTTAAGGGTCGTGTTAGGGCCTCTCTGCCTGTTCTTGTCAGATTAAGGCTTTAGGGTTTGAAGCATAACCCAAACACCTGATTAGGGCATAGTCAAGTGTAGGTTCGGCTCATGATGATTATGGTTGGTCGGGTCTGATGGATGTGTCGGGTACGACCTAATGCCAGACAGGGTCTGATGGATGTATCGGGTGCGGACCAATGCCAGACAGGGTATGATTGATGATGAGCGGGGCCTGATGTATGTATGTATGTATGTATGTATGTATGTATGTATGTATGTATGTATGCATGTATATGTATGTATGTATGTATGTATGTATGTATGTATGCATGTATATGTATGTATGTATGTATGTATGTATGTATGTATGTATGTATGTATGTATGTATGTATGATGTGTATGGTACGAGGATCGTTGGATCTGAGGAAAGTTTAGACTTGTATAGCACTCGACTAGGTGAGACCCGTGGGCAAGGCCTGCATGGTTATGATAATGCGGGTGGGACTTAGAGGAGATCGGTTGGATCAAGGTATTTGGCTATGTTTTGAGTGGGATGACTTTGTGGTCAGTGATTGGTACCCGTGTAATGTATAGGTTAGGGTAGCCTTTACCGGTAGACTCTCATTAGGGGCCTGATAGTTAGACCAGGTGTGAGGCTGTCAGTCTCAGTGGTGGATTAGGGATTTTTATCCTAGTTCAGTGGAAGGTCGCCATGGATGTGAGTTTTTTCTTAGATTGGTCTGGCACTTAGGGTGAGACTTGCATTGGGAGTCTCTCTTGATCTCAATTGAAGGATTCGATTATGATTAATGGTTGGTTACGTTATCCTTGGTTGGATCTGGAGGGTTGTTGGAGCCAATACGACAAGCCAACTAGGGCAACTCTTGTCAGTTAGACCCTCATTCAGGAATCGTGTGGTGCAATTGTGTGAGGCTATCAACCTTAGCAACTAGTTAGAAATCCAGTATATTGGTAAGTTGGTTGTACCAGTGATTGGGATTCGTGTTAAGTGAACATGTTAAGTCACATACTGCATAGGTTAAATAATCTCAGAGTAATTGATTCAACTCTACCGTGAAACTCTCGTCTGAGTCTAACCATTGTAGGGATAAGTCTTTTACTCAAAGGATTATCTAATCCCTTTTATCAAGTGAAAAGTTTCTGGCAGCAATAAATGGTTGAAGATTCTATTTTCTAGTGGAAACAACAAGACAATCAGAAGTTGGATGATCAGTTTGGAATACGAAGTGCAGTTGAATTAGCAATGGTTTAGTATGAGCTATCTGTCGGGGAGTCAGAAAAGGTTTTAGGATTTTGGATTTCGGGCATAGTAGAAATGGTTATTCTTTAGGAGTTAAATTAAGTTGGGCGAGGATCCGTTCATCGTCAGGATTTGGGGGCCCCTCTAAGGTTGGGTTCAGGTGGAGTTTTGAACTT